AAAAAATAACTGAAAAAAAAAAAAAAAGGAATAGCACAGGGAACTATATTCAATATGCTGTAATAAACCACAATGGAAAAGAATATGAAAAAAGATATGTATTATGTGTGTGTATATATATATATAAAAAACTGAATTACTTTGCTGTATACCAGAAACTAACATAACATTTTAAATCAACTATACTTCAATTAAAGAAACCAACCCCCTCACTACCTCGCAAAAGACAAAAACAAAACAAGAACAACAAAACTGAAAAGAATGGAGACTGGCGTGACAGCCTCACTCAAACAGTGAGTGGCGGGGTTGGGACTAGAAGCCGGGCCAGTGCTCTCGAGAGTGGTCCCGGATGACATTCTATGAGCCACAGATTAGCCTCGTGTTATCTCTGCTCTTGCTTCTCTAAAATGAAAACCCTTCTCACCACTCAGGCTGGGAGAGGCCTGGACCACACCGGAGCTGCTAGGAGAGGCCAGACAAGAGGAACTTGGTGCTCCCTGGGCTGCATCTAGGGACAGTTCCTGGGCGGTGAGCCGCCACCTTTGACCCTCAGAGGCAAGAGTGAGGAGGCGGGGGTAGAAGGACTGGGCCCCAAACCCGGCTGGACGCAAGGTAACGTAAAGTGCGTCACAGGAAACCAAATCCAGCGGCAGTCTGAATCCTGTGACCAGGGCTCCTCCCTTCTGAGCCTCTTTCCGCACATCCCTCCCTCAAGGACCACAGACTGAGCGCACTCAAGGCGGGTCATCAGTCAGACACGCCACATTTTCTCTTTCCTCTGGGCTTCTGCCCATGCAGGCTCTTCTATTTTCACTCCTTATATACGGCCCCCAGATTTTCTGGGGGACTCAACTGAGACCTTGCGTCTCCAGAGCAAGCACTCTGACAGGGCCGGGTGCTCCTCTCCTGTATGTCCATAGATTCCATCACAGCACTTACCCCGGACCATCTCCTGGACTGCAGTGTGAGCTCCTGGAGGGCAAAGTCCCCGGATTATTCACCTCAGTACCCAGCACTTAGCAGGCCCTCAAAGAACAAATGCTGGCTCACACGGTAGGCGCACAATGAGTTCTGTCCCCTCCTCCTTCACTCATGACCACAGTGCAGAGCTCCAGGACACCAACCAACAAGCAAACAAATCCAAGATCTTTCAACAGGGTGCCAAATGAGAATGCTAACTTTTTTTTCAAAGTACTGTAATTCTGGTTTAAAAACCAAGTCACTTGCATACAGCTTCAGTTTTAAACATTGACATCAGCTGTAAAAAGAAGAAATCTCCCGAGAGTAAACAGTGCCCCAGAGTGAGAACTCACTACCTACACAGCCTGGGTCCCCACCACCTGCTCCCCCTAATTCCATCTGGCTAAGACAGAATGGGTATTTGTCCAAAGGCTTCACAGCTTTACTTCATTCTGTGCTAGCAGCAGGCAGGTGAGAAAGCCATGATGACTACGATGCTGTTTTATGAAAGCTTCAGGATCCTGAAAAGGGGATGAGACAGAGGATAGCATTCCTACCATCTTCCCCGGGGGATGAGGCGGGGCGGGGGGGGGGGGGGGGGGCTGCCCTTCTAATGAAGAGCAGAGACTTGGGGTCCCCTGAATGACCAATAATTTCACCGTCTCTTCTGATCTTATTTCCAACTTTATACTCCATCTCATGCTCAAAAAACATTTGAGATGACGGTCATTGTTTCTTCAGGTCTATGTCTATATCGTGGGCTGTTAGTAAAGTGACATCCTAGTTGTGTGATCTTGGGCAAGTGACTTTGAAATGTCTTGAGCCTCAGTTTTCTTACCTGTAAAATGGTGATAGCAATGACCAAAACTGGGTTACTGTGATTTTAAAAATCCATAACGTATGTGGGGAACTTAGCCCAGTTCCTGCCACTTAGCAGCTACACAGTAAATGAGAGCTGTCATTACCGCAAGATCTAGAGAATGGCAAGTTCTAAAAGGAGACTTGCAGGAACAAGAGGAAAGTGCACACTGGAGTTTCTGGGGATTATCTGATAGAGAATCCAGAACTCTGCACAAGGGGTGATGGTCACGGGGACCTCTGAAATTTCTGGAATGTTTGTAATTCTCCCATGTTTGTAATTTTCTCCCACAGTCTTATTTCATTTAGATCAGCAGTTCAATTCTTTACATGAAAAAGACCCAAGTGCTTATTTAGGGGATTTATCTGGGGGTAAAAGAAAGAAACTTACTAAGAGACTAAAGGAAAAGGCCTTAGCAGAGAACAGTTAGAATGTTTGGGAGCAAGAGGAATAAAGAGAGGGACATTCAGAATGCTGACAGGAGAACAGGAGGTCCCTAGAGGCCTCATTCTGAGGAGTTCTGCCCCTGACACAGATCTGAGCAAACTCTTCCTTGTTCCGTCCCTGATGTTCCCAGAATTCCGCCCACAGTGTAAGCATTACATGTCACATCAGGTCGGGGAACACTCTGCTGGGACTCTGCTCAGACACCGTGACCCCACTCGGTGTAACCTGACACATCCAGTCACTGGGATGTTTAAAGGACACCTGATTCTGTGACAGTGTGGTTACCCTAAACCACCTAAGACATGACAACAAAGAGGAGAATCCCAGTCTCTGGCCTCAGTCCATGCTTAGGTAGCCTGAATCTGGGTCAGAAGGGAAGGCTGTCCTTTAGAGGCAGAGAGAATTACTGCCTGCCTCAGTCTGTACCTATAGGGCAATGGTTTTCAACCCTGGCTGGGGCATCAGAGTCACTTGCAGAGCTTTAAAAACTCAGATGATGGAGACTCCCCTGGTGGTCCAGTGGTTGAAAATCCGCCTGGCAATACAGGGGATGTGGGTTTGATCCCTGGTCAGAGAACTAAGATCCTACATGCCACAGAGCAACTAAGCCCAGGCACTGCCAACTATTGAACCCGCACGTTCCACAGCCCGTGTGGCACGACCAGAGAGTCAGTATGCTGAAGTGAAAGATCTCGCAATGACACAATGAAGATGCCATGTGCCACAACTAAGACTGAACACAGCCAGGTAAATAATACAATGCTTCGTGGAAGGACCATTGCTTTGAACTTCTGGGAAATGATCAGGGTTCCACACAAGGAGATAAGAGAAGCTCTTTTTCCTAAGTGGTATCTGCAACCAGATCAGTCTGTTCTATAATAGCTTCCCTGGCTCTCCAAGGGGTGGGAATCTATCAGGAGGCAGCTGCGCTTGGCTGCCTAACCTTCCCATACCTTTCTCAGGGTCCCTGAACATCAGAGACACCTGCCTCATCATCACAGAACTTAATAAAAGGTACACTTATTACAGAAACTAGATTCAGATTCAACTAACATTTCTGGAGCTCCTTTTCTGTGGCAGGCCCTGCAGCAGACACATAAAAATTGCAAGCCTGTGAGAGAGGCACTACCTCGTTCTCACTAGGGGTGCATTCCTGGAAAAAGAATGTTCATCAGAGCTTTACCCACTCATTACAGCAGTCCTCAGTGGATGTGTTCCCAACATGGTGATTTATCACCTATGATCAACATACAAATGGGTTTACTGACTGATGTATCTTCTCAAAATTCCAATTGCTCTAATCGAGTGCATGACCATGCACTGATATCTGAGGCTTATCCCCTTCAGCTGTCAAAACATCTAGCTTGTATTTTTTAAGTAAAAATATGGAACACTTCACAAATTTGCGTGTCACCCTTGCACAGGGACCACGGCAATCTCTCTATCATTTCAACTTTAATATCTGAGCTGCTGAAGCCAGCACTCTAGCCTGAATTTGAATCATGAAAATAATTCCTGTTTGTCTGTCATTTGGAAAGCAAACAAACCATTTGCTGGGAATCAAAGAGTTTTAAACAAGGGACTGCGAGGGAGTAGGCAGGTCCTTTTTGGTGAAGAGCATTCCTTTTATGGAAGCTGATTAGCACTATGAGCTATAACTACATTGTCTCCATTTTAAATGTGATGAAACTGAAGCTCAGAGAATCTCAGTAACTTGTTAAACACACACAGCTAGGACAGGGAGGGCAAGGACTTGACCCCAGGTCTTCTGATTTCCAGATCCATGCTTTTACCCTCATACCACTAGTGGACCTCACTAGGTCTTCTGCACGGCTATAAGCACTTATGTGCAGATGTATAATTGCTGAAAATTCACATACTGTTTTTTTCAGCCAAATGCAAAAATCATGGATTAAGATCCAATAGAATTTTAGGATATAATCACAAAAGTAACAAGGGCTCAGAGGGGCTGAGTGATTTGTCCAAGATCAAACAGCTACTAAGAGGCAGAGCCTGTATTTGACCTTAGGTCTATATGGCTCCAAAACAGGAGCTCTTAACTAGCTAAAGGCACACACACAGTGTACTGGAGAGGAAATCACACGAGACAGGATTCAGAAGCCAAGAATTCCTGTCTCTGTTCCAATTTTTTTAGCTAAATCACTTTGGACAAGTCCCTTGCCTTCTGCAAACTGGAAGCAATGATCTCTGATCCACTTCACTATGAGAAGTGAAGATCCAAATGGACAAAAAATATTCTGAAAATTCCTTCCATAAAACGATAAAGCATAGGAATTCACGTAGGCCAGTCACACAGCTGTGGGTTCAAAAATTCCGACTCTGCCACTTAATGGCTTGTGTGATCTTGGACAAGTGATTTTACTTCTCATGTCTCCATTTTCTCATCTGCAAAATGCGGCTAAATCAAGTACCTACACCAAAGGGTTGTTGTGACGATTAAATGAGAGCATCCATTTATATACGGATTGGCCCACAGAGTACAGGATGACTGAACATCAGCCACCATCACCAAAACTGTGCCTGCCAGGTTTTCAATTTCCTCAAGCACGGACTTTTTGAGCTACCACACCTGGGCAACAGTTTCCTATTACTCTCTGCCTTCGTCCTCTGGCCTTGACCCTCCTTCCCTTTCCAGTATCCCTTCCCCACAGCCCATTTTAATACCCCCCTGGCAACCCCAGTCCCCTTCCCCCATTTCGGCGCCGTGTCTTACTCGACGACTTTGGCTGGGTCCCCGTGGTGCCCATAGACCAGCGCCCGGACCCGGGAAGCCTCGGCAGAGGCAGAGAAGGAGGCGGCGGCAGGCCGCCGCCGGCTGGACTCTGGAAGCAGCCTCTGCCCCAGCTGGGCCGGGGCTCGAGCCCTGCAGAGCGCCCCGCAGACCCACATGTTCCCTCCAGTCAACTCAGAGCTAGACGCTGCGAGATACGTCATCTTTCAGCGACCGCTCGCCAGCGCCCGGCACCGCCTCCCGCGTGACCACGCCCCCGCTCCCCTTTTTAAAGGGCTGTCGCGGTCCTCCGCAGCTGGCGCTAGCGCTAGATGAAACTCCCTGGGAAACCCGGAGTGGTCGGCGGAGGGAATTAGGGGAGTCTCGGAGACTCTGAGCCTTCCAGGGTTGAACTCCTAACAGTGAACATTAGAAATTGGCTTAAAGCTGGGACGGTGGTCTGAGATTGTTGTTTGATTCAGGGGAAGATTTTCCCCTTTCCTGGCCTCAGTTTCCCCTCCCCACTATTACATCGCTCACTGTGTTCAAATGAGGCGTTATTTCATTCAATCCCCACTGTCTTCTAACTAGCCTCGGGTGGCAAACCTTACTTCACTACACTACTTACATCTACACTAAGAGTGGATGTAAGTAAATGTGGAGGTATGAGTACTGGGTTTGGAGTTAGAAGATTTAGGTTCAAATCCTAGACTTGCCGCTTGTTAGCTTGGCCCTCGGGCAAGTGACTGAAACTGTGAGACAGTTTTCTCATTCCTTGTTGTTGTTATTCAGTCATTCAGTCCTGTCCAACTTTTCTCGACCCCATGAACCGCGCAGCACACCAGGCTTCCCCGTCCTTCACTTATCTGCTGGAATCTGCTCAAATTCCTGTCCATTGAGTCAATGATGCCATCCAATAATCTCATCCTCTTGTTGTCCCCTTCTCCTCCTGCCCTCACTCTTTCCCAGCATCAGGATCTTTTCCAATGAGTCAGTTCTTCGAATCAGGTGGCCAAGGTATTTCAGCTTCAGCTTCGGCATCAGTCCTTCCAATGAATATTCAGGGTTGATTTCCTTTAGGATTGACCGGTTTGATCTCCCTGCTGTCCAAGGGACTCTAAAAAGTCTTCTCCAGCACCACAGTTCGAAAACATTAGTTCTTCAGTGCTCAGCCTTCTTTATGGCCCAACTCTCACATCTGTACATGACTACTTGAAAAACCATAGCTTTGACTAAACAGAGCTTTGAGGAAGTGTGGTGTAAACAGGTGTAACCCAGGAAAGATGCTTATCACATTATTTGTGGAAGGAAGACACAAGCATAACTAAAACCCTAGTTGAATATTAGGGCATGACAGAGGGCACTTCTGGAGGCTGAGGGAGAGAGGTGTTTTGGGACCGAGGTGGGGGTGGGGGCTCTTGGAGGAGGTGATGTTGGAGACAGTCCTGTGACTCAAAATCTTCAATATTCATGAAAACCACCTGAGGTCCCATCTCAGACCTGAATTAGAATCTTGGGGAGGGATCCAGGAAACTACGTTTTTTTATGTTTATTTTTTAATTTTTAACTTAATTTTCATAGAATTTCAGATCTGTAAAATAATCACATTCTCTCTATACCTTCATCTAGATCCCCCAGAAATTAACATCATGTATAACATGTATAACAAAATGATCAAAATAAAGAAATTAACAAGTCTGCACAACCACCAAATCCTATTCACATTTTAATCAGTTATCCCTTGAATATAATTTTTCTTGTTCAGGACCCAATTCATGATCACATGTTACATTTAGTTGCCTTAATTCTTTAGGAATCTACATATCTTTTTTTTTTTTTCTTTCTTTTGAATCTACATTTCTTACAAACTCTTAAGAATTTTCTGATGCAGGTGGCCTGGGAAACAAACTTGAGAAACACTGAACCAGGACTTAAAAGGATAAGGAAGAATTCCTTTCATTGGGTTTTATTGACCTCAAAATTGCCAATTTAGAGTCTTTCCTATGAGGAGGAAAAGAAAGTGTCAGGTCAAAGGCCGAACATGCTGCATTCTGGCAAACCTGGCTTTGAGTCCTGGCTCTGCCACTGTTTGGCCATTTGATTTTGGACAAGTCCCCTGGTCTCTCTGTGTCTCCATTTCCTTATCCTTAAAATGAAGGAAATAATATGATTCAAGATGATTGTGAGCTACTATTTATGTGAACTACTTAACACAATGTTTGGCATGAAAGCATTTGCTAACTGTTATCAGGGGTTATTGTAAAGATTAAATGAGAAATATCATCTGTAAAACACCCAGACTGGCTTACAGTACATGCTCAAAAGTGTTTGTACTTTAAACAAAGTTATTTATTTATTTACTCATTTTTGGCTGCATAGGATCTCTTTTGCTGTGCTCAGGCTTTCTCCAGTTGTGGTGAGCAGGGGTTATTCTTTATTGCAGTGCTTGGGGTTCCCGTTGTGGTGGCTTCTTTTATTTTGTGGAGCACAGGCTCTAGGTGCGTGGGCTTCAGTAGATGCGGTTCGTGTGCTAAACTGTTGTGTTACACAGGCTTGGTTGCTTTACCACATGAGGAATCTTCCTGGGCCAGGGATTGAACCCTTGTCCCCTGCATTGGCAGGTGGATTCTTAACCACTGGACTTAGATTATTAACCACTAGACTACCAGAGAAGCCCCTACTTATTTTTATTATTAGAGAACATAGCGGGAGGAAGACTTGGTCCCACAGTACACACACACACACACACACACACACACACACACACTCACACACTCACACGCACACACACACACCCAGTCTTGCCTATCTTTTGTTTTCACAGTGACCCACAGTTCTATTTCTGTTGGAAGACTCCCTAGGTGACATTGAGCTGTTGATTTTATCTTCTTTATGAAACTGGTTCCTCTGAATTCCCTGAGCAGCTCATCCAGGAAGCCTGGAGAGTCACCCAGACTCACTCAGCCGGTCTTCCTCTTTGGGGGCTGGACGTGGTCTCCTGTCCATCATGATAGCCCTCATTTTTGGCCCAGGACATCAGCTCTTGTTTGAACTATGTCAACAATCTTCTTCCTAACTGAAATCCTCTCCCTTCTCTCTCCATTTCCTTCTTTCTCGGGCCCCCAGAATTGCTTTCTTTTTTTAAGAGAAAGACCAGATTTTGTTGTTCCCTTGCTTAAAATCCTTCCATGATTCCTCAATACTCAGGGAGAACCAGAAGCTACAGTTCTTTGTATTATAAAACTGTGAACTCTTGATATATTAAACTTAAACTTGTAAACAAAACTATAGTTCTATGCTAATTTTATCATTCTCTCACACTACTGACATGTTCTAAAATCTTCAAAAAAACAGATGGAGGAAAAACACCTTAAAATAACAACAAAAAATTTCTACTCATTGTAATTAATCTACCTTCTTGCGAGTTAGAAAAACATGACTGGGACTTCCCTGGTGGTCCAGTGGCTAAGACTCTGCACTCCCAATGCAGGGGGCCTGGGTTCAACCTCTGGTCAGGGAATTTTAAGTTCCCACATGCCACAGTTAAGAATTTGAGTGCTGCAACTAAAAGATCCCCCATGATAAACAAATAAATAAATATTAGGAAAAAAGATAAAAACATGACTGTGGTTTTAATTCATGTGTAGCATCCCTCAGCTTGACTTGAGGAACATTTGGGCTTCTTCAGGGGCACCATTTGAGAACCACTGATTGAGGGGACCAGATCCAATTGTCCTGGTCTTACATTCGAGACCCTTTGTCCCTCGACTCCCACACTGTCTTTATTTTCTGCTGTTGGACCATGCAGAGACTACGATGCAACCATACCTGACACCAAGCTTTCTCAGTACTTCCATGTCTTGTGCCCTTATTCAGGCTGTTCCTTCTGCCTGAAGTGCTCTTCCCTGCGTTGCCTATCTAGGAAACTCCAGGTTCAGGTATCACTTCTTTGATGTTGTTTCCCAACCTCCCCCCAGGCTGAGTCAATTCTGGTGCCTTTGTGTTTTCTTTGGGCTGGTGTTATGACCTTCAGGACATAGTCTTTTATTTATTTATGTGCCCATTTCCCCCTCCAGGCAAGAGTAGGGCCACGTTTAGTGTATCTCCATGACACCAGCACCCAATATGGGGCCTGGCACAGGTTAGGTATCATGAATATTCCATGAGTTGAAAGTAATTGAATTTCCTCATGGCCTGAGCCTGTCGGTGGTAGCATCTCCTTTTCCCTAGATTTGGGCTTGTCACTTCAGGTCAAGACTTTCAGTTTCCCTTCCTTCTTCTCTCGAGGATTAGAGAAGCCTGTGGTCTTTTTCAAGTGGAGCAGAATGTTCTCTTTTCATCTGTCCATCTGTTACTTGTGTCCCTTTCTCCTTCCAGCTCAGTCTCTGCCCATAGTCTTCCTCTGCACAAAGTGGGCTGTGGAATCAGTCTGACCTAGGTCTGAGCTCTGGATCCACCACTATTAGCTGTGTGACCTTGGGCAAGTGTCTTATGCTTTCTGAGACACCCAAAAAGCTTTTCTGCTTTTCTCGGTTTCCACATCCCCCCAAAATGGGATTAGCGGTAAACTCCTGCCATGGGGCTTCTGCAACTGTCCTCTGCGGCAGCACCCCTGGTTGCTTCTTCTTTTTCATCAGATTTTTCTCCTTGAGTTTCCTTTTCTGGATGGTCCTTTCTGTCTCTTCTCTGTGTGTTTGCTGTTGGTCTCTCCCGGGAAAATGTAAGCTTCATGAAGGCAAGAACCGTGTCTGCATGCGTTCATCCATTCAATATTTCTTGAGTGCTGACTATAGGCCAGACACCAAGCAGTGGGATGTAAGACAGAGTCCGTGGCCTTAGGGAGCTCGTGTTCCAAAGCTGCAGACAGACGATGAATATGCCGTAAGAGTAGGCGCCTCCATTTAAAACGGCAAGAATCCCCTTCCCCCTGCCGTTTCTCTCCATTTCTTTCTTTGATTTATGATGGCTGTGCTGGGTCTTCGTTGATGCACGTGTGCTTTCTCTAGCTGCAGTGAGCGGGGGCTTACTCTTCAATGCGGCGCGCCGGCTTCTGATTGCAGAGGCTTCTCCTGTTGAGAGCACAGGCCCGACGTGCTTGGTCACAGTACTTGCAGCACGCACTCTCAGCAGTTGTGGTGCACAGGCTTAGTTGCTCCTTGGCATGTGGGATCTTCCTGGA